TTGGCACAGTTTATAGTCATGTGTTTGTTTTAATGTCTGCCCCCCTGATTAATTTGTATATTCTTGGAGAGCAGAGATCTTTTCTGTCTTGTTCCCTGCTTTATTCCCTGCTGCTAGCATAGTGGCTATATTTTAGCACATATGAAATAAATATTTCTTAGATGGATAAATGAATCAGTATGTTACTGCCACTGGCTCTGTCATTCTGCATCTTTGTTTCTACTCTATCTTGAACAGGTGAATTTCAGGGTATTTTCCTAGAGTTTTGCATTGCTGGATTCAGGTCTGTTTAGTTTGATGAATGTCACCTTGATTTGGATTAAAATAGCATATAGCTTGTATAAGATGGAAATAGAGTGACGTTAAACAGAAAACAAGTACAGAACAATCTAAAGAAGATCATTTGCTTTCTGAAAAAAGATCTAGAGGTCTTAGTGAATATGTTGAACCATACGTAATACCTGATGTATGAGAGAGTTGAGGTGAGCAAGTGAGCTTCGTTTTCAAAAAACGATTCAGAATTCCATGCTTTCCTGATTTGATAAAAAAGGAAAATTTTGATTTGTTCCATTTTATTGCAGTAACCTGAGCACTAGTTTCAAAGTGTGATTGCTGCGTGTTTAGCTGTGCAGTTTCCCATTTAAGTACATGCTGCTGCCGCTAAGTCGCTTCACTCGTGTCTGACTGTGCGACCCCATGGACTACAGCCTACCAGGCTCCTCCGTCCATGGGATTCTCCAGGCAAGAGTACTGGAGGGGGGTGCCATTGCCTTCTCCAAGTACATGCTAATGCAGTATAAAAACAGACTTAAGTTTAGAGATTGAAGGTCCTCAAACACCACAGTTTTGCTTTTTGGTATTATACTTTGATGATATACCATTGCAGTGATAATGGTATTTGCAGTTTTCAAAGTGTAGTGGGGACATTCGGGGCTTCCATGGTAGCTCAGTGGTAAAGAATCTGCCTGCCAATGCAAGAGGCATGGTTTCAATCCCTGGGATAGGAAGATCCCCTGGAGAAGGAAATGGCAACCCACTCCAGGATTCTGGCTTGGGAAAGCCCATGGAGGAGCTTGGTGGGCTACAATCCAAGGAATTGTAAGAGTCAAATGCAACTAAGCAATAATAACAGGGACTTTAGAGGACTTGACAATTAAAATACAATACTTTCCTGACTTAAAGTTAACTGTGTTTTGGGCATTGTTAGAGACTTTACATGGATATTCTCAAAAGAAACCTTTAAGATAGCTATGATCTTGGTTTTATAGAAAAGAACACTATGGAGGCTCAGAAAGTTGAGATCACATGGTTGGGAGAGCCCATACTTTTGTCTCAGGCGAAAACTTGTGCTCTTGTGATTTCAGCCTTCTGCCTCCAGCTCACTTTTGTCTTTTAGATTTGGTAACTGGAGATTCCATGTATAATATGCTTTTTGATATTTAAAAAAAGCACTCTACCTTTTAAGGTATTTTTACCCTAAAACTTAAATTTTGAGTTCAAGTACTTCTCTTTGGAGCTCTTCTACCCCACTCGGTTCCTCTGAACTTCTTCATCTGGTGTGACCTTCTTCTGGTACTGAGTGTTTCCCTCCTGTATCTAGTGGCTGATGAGCACTTACTAGCCCTGCTGTGAGACTGAGTTCTTGGAAGGAAGAATTCCTTTCTGCTCTTTGCTGTCTTCAGTGCCTTTTTAAATAATAAGTACCTCAATATTTGTTGAATGTTAAAATTACCCTTTAAATGGTAACGTTCCCTAGGGTCCTGTCTTTAATCTTGTTTTCTTGATCACACTGAGAACTTCTCTGGGTGATCTCATTTTTCCATTCCTTCCCTTTGACCAGTTTGCATATCACAGGTTGTTGTTACCAGTTACTTAACGGAGTCAGGTAAATGACATAAATGAGTGAGGAAAAGGTGATGAATAATGAATGGAGAGGCTCAGGTGGATTAAAGAATCAGTGCCCCGTCCAGAGCTCCAGTGGCTTGTTGCTATTTCAGAATACAATAACAGTGTGAACAGAACTTCAGGTTTTTCAGAAGATAATAGAAATCTAGGTTTTTTTAAGGTGAAGTTTCTATGTGTCTAAATATGAACTATAGTTAGCAGGCCAAAAGAAAGCCTTTTTGAGTTTTCACGTTTACTTATTCTATCTTTGTCATCCTTCTGATTCCTGTATCTCTAGACCTGACATCCTTCTGACATCCTTGTGTCTCTAGACCTGATTTTTCTGCTAAGCTTCAGACTCCCCACATTCTCTTCTAGACCATCTAGGAGTTTTGTGTCCCACAGGCATCTCAAAGACTGTGATGTTCAACCTGAACCTCAAACATGTACCTTGGAAGTGGTTTCAGTTGTAAAGTCTGATGGCTGTATGAGTTTGACTCTTAGTTCCGCCATTGACTAGGTCACTAAACGGGTTAGTTCAGTTCCTTAAACTTGTTTGCTCATATGTAAAATGGGAGTAATAGTACTTCATTGGTCTGTTGTGCTAGCACAGTGACCTATAGTAGTAACAAGTGCTGGGTACTCTCAGTTGCTGTTCCTGCTTCAGTGAATGGTGTTTACCACTCTCACACCCACTTACTGGTGCTTAAGAGTCATTCTTGACTCTCTCCTCTTTTTTTTATTCTTCAAATCTAATTAGTTTCCAGTCCTGTGTTATTTTTGTAATGTCTCTTTGCTGCTGTTGCTTTAAGTTTTTTAAAAAATAATATTTTTGCTCATCAGTATTACTGTAGCAGCCCTTAACAGCTTTCTCAATCTCTATTTAAACCTCTTTCCCAGGCTGTTCTCAGCTTTGTGCCCATGGTTTATGTTTTGCTGAAACACAAATCTGATCACACCAAACTTCTGCTTACAGTCCTTCAGTGGATTCCTATTGTCTCTAAATTTTTAACACATTAATTTTTACTGTTCTTGATGCCTGCTTATTTTTTAGCCTCATTTCTGCTTAAGCTGCATGAGTGGCACATATAAGCTCTTGGAACCTACTCGGCTCTCTGTGGCATGTTTCTTCCTCAGACTGCCCTTCTCCTCTGTCCTGCAGCTTCTTTAGGAATGAGCTTTAAAGGTACTGTTCTCACCCACAGTCTCTCCCTCCAGGGCTGAGTCAGATACCCCTCTTTATGCACTCCCAGCCTCCCGAGGATGTCTCTATCATAGTGCTCTTCACAGTCTTTTGTAATTGTATCTTTTTTCCGCCAAGCTTCTTGAAGGCAGAGACCACATATCTTGAATGGCTTTGTATCTCTAGGGCTTAGAATAACGTCTGGTAAACAGTGAGCTCTCAGATGTTTGTGGAAATGAATGCGTTTGTTGAGTGAATAAATAATTTTTTTTTTCTTTTCTGGAAAAATAGTAGATATAAAAAGGATCTTAGGAGCCTCAATTATAGTTGTAAGACCTTTAAAAATGTCCCAATTTTTATTTCCCCTTGTTTGAAGATTATAGGTACTTTTATATATTATGAATTAATAGTATTTATATTCTTTAGAAACAAAGTAAGTTGTACTGTCATTATAGATAACTAATTATTGCCTTCAAGGGCTGTGTTTTCTCACTGTTTTGTTTTTTGTTTTTAATACAGCCTGCTGAGGTTCTTTTTTTCCCTGCTTTCTCCTCTGTGTTAGGTTCTTAGGGTCTTTTTCCCTCCCACCCTCCTAGGAGCCCTGGTTTATTACAAGATTTCTCAGCTTCTTTTGCTGTTGACTCCAGGGGCCAGATAATTCTTAGTTGTGAGGAGCTGTCTAGTTCATTGTGAGAGGTTTAGCAGCATCCCCTGGCAGCTACCCCTAGAGGAGGAAGTGCCTACCTTCTCCAGTATTCTTGCCTGGAAAAAGCCATGGACAGAGGAGCCTGGTGGGCTTACAGTCCGTGCAGTTGCAAAGAGTCGTGACAGGACTGAATGACTGAGCCCGCACACACCATTCTGTGTGCACACACCTACCAGATGCCAGTAGCGCCTCCTGGTTTTGACAACCAAAAATGTCTCCAGACATTGTCAAGTCTCCTGTGGAGCAAAATCACCCCTGATTGAGAGCCCACTGGTTTGTAGAGATTCCTGTCTCTCAGCCTTTATCGGAGCCTCTCTTTGGACTCCGGTCATCAGTATAAGAACATGAACTCCCATCTGTTAAAAAGAAACCCACAGAGCACTTTTTAAAGTAACTCTTTGTTTCCTCTTAACTTTTGTGCATTTTCTCTCTCTCTCCTCTTCCCATCCACTTTTCTAGACTGGATTGCTTCTGTGCTCTCTTTCTGGCTTTTACCCCTGTGGTGCCACTGAAAATGCTTTCAAGTCTTTATAGTCTTTTCCTGTGTTCTCTGAAGTGAATGCATCCAACACCTAGTATTCCACGTCCCTGGCCACCCTGACTCCTACTTAGATATTCCATCTAGTCAGGCATGAAGTCCTGTTTATTTACGTCTCAAATGTCTACAGAATCCACTGGTACTCTTTATTTTCACTGAGTGGGTATCCACCAATGGCATCAGGCTTTTTACTGTTCTTGGAATATCTGCTCTTGTTCCATTTTATTTTCTGCACTGTACTCTGGATGTTCTTCCTAAGAAAGAGTCTCCTACCATTTCAGACCTTCTCAATTCATGAGTTCTGGGTCCTAACTATCTGCATTTTTGAAAGGTTTACCAAGTGATTTTTGTATAGTTTCTAATTTCTTCATTTTGCAGTTTAACAAACATGTCATTTCTTTTAGGAATTCCTAAAATCCTTATTATTATTTTTACAAAGCACCTCCTGAGGTGATCTCTGTCTCTTAACAAACCATCATTGATGTGTAAAAAAAAGTCTTTAAAACAAGTGCTTTATGAAAAGTCAGTTTTTATTAATTTTTTTTTTATAAACCAATAAGATTTATCATTGTCGGAAGGATCAGGAGGAAATATGGGTACTCTAACGTATTGATTAATATTGCGTGTCTGTGACAGATTCGACTGCTAAGTTATAAAATATTTAAATAAGACCTTTTTTTCCTTTATAGGTATTTATAACAGCAATGATGTAGCAGTATCATTTCCAAATGTAGTATCTGGCTCAGGATCGAGTACTCCTGTCTCCAGTTCTCATTTACCTCAGCAACCTTCTGGGCATTTACAGCAAGTGGGCGCTCTCTCCCCATCAGCTGGGTCATCTGCACCCTCTGCTGTTGCTGCAACTCAGGTAAATTATTGCAGTGTTACAAAGAAATGTGGATCATTTTGTTATTTTTGAAACTGTTTCATTGTAAGAGAGAAATGAAATAGGACTTCCTGTAGGAAGTTATAAAATGTCTCAACCTGTATTGACATGAGTGGAAATAATACACATTTTTACTTGATATTCATGAGAGCACAAACTGATGTTGGCACCAACTGATTCTTTTAGATTTCTGCATTTCTCATTTTGTCCTAATGATGTGAAATAGTAATTTGGGGGAGCTTTTCTTCTTTCTTTTGAAAGGAGGACTTACAGGTTCAGTTCAGCTGCTCAGTCGTGTCCGACTCTTTGCGACCCCAGGGGCTGCAGCTCGCCAGGCCTCCCTTTCCATCACCAACTCCCAGGGCTTGCTCAGACTTGTGTCCATCAAGTCGGTGATGTCATCCAACCATCTCATCCTCTGTCGTCCCCTTCTCCTCGTACCTTCAGTCTTTCCCAGTATTAGGGTCTTTTCCTATGAATCAGTTCTTCCCATCAGGTGGCCAAAGTTTTGAAGTTTCAGCTTCAGCATCAGTCCTTGCAATGAATATTCAGGACTGATTTCCTTTAGGATGGACTGGTTGGATCTCCTTGCAGTCCAACAGACGACTCTCCAGAGTCTTCTCCAACACCACAGTTCAAAAGCATCAGGTCTTCTCACTCAACTTTTCTTTATAGTCCAACTCTCACATTCATACATGACTACTGGAAAAACCATACCTTTGACTATATGGGCCTCTGTCGGCAAGGTAATATCTCTTCTTTTTAACATGTTCTCTAGGTTGGCCATCGCTTTTCTTCCAAGGGGCAAGCATCTTTTAATTTCATGGCTTCAGTCACCATCTGCAGTGATATTGGAGCCGAGAAAATAAAAGTCTGTCACTGTGTCCATTGTTTGCCCATCTATTTACCACAAAGGGATGGGACCAGATGCCAAGTTCTTCATTTTTTTAATGTTGAGTTTCAAGCAAGCTTTTTCACTCCCCTCTTTCACTTTCATCAAGAGGCTCTTTAGTTCCTCTTTGCTTTCTGTCATAAGGGTGGTATCATCTGCATATCTGAGGTTATTGATACTTTTCACTGCCATCTTGATTCCAGCTTGTGCTTCATCCAGCCTGGCATTTTGCATGATGTACTCTGAATATATGTTAAATAAGCAGGGTGACACTATACAGCCTTGATGTACTTCTTTCCCAGTTTCGAACTAGTCCATTGTGGTTCCATGTCTGCTTCTGTTGGCTCTTGACCTGCATACAGATTTCTCAGGAGACAGGTGGTCTGGTATTCCTATCTCTTTTAAGACTTTTCCACAGTTTATTGTGATCCACACAGTCAAAGGCTTTGGTGTATTCAGTAAAGCAGAAGTAGATGTTTTTCTGGAACTCTCTCACTTTTTTGATGATACAATGGATGTTGGCAATTTGATCTCTGGTTCCTCTCCCTTTTCTAGATCCAGCTTTAACATCTGGAAGTTCTTGGTTCATGTACTGTTGAAGCCTGGCTTGGAAAATTTTGAAAGTAATGCTAGCATTATTTTGCTAGCGTGTGAGATGAGTGCAGTTGTGTGGTAGTTTAAGCTTTCTTTGGCATTGCCTTTCTTTGGGATTGGAATGAAAACTGACCTTTTCCAGTCCTGTGGCCACTGCTGAGTTTTCCAAATTTGTTGGCATATTGAGTGCAGCACTTTCACAGCATCATCTTTTCGGATTTGAAATAGCTCAACTGAAATTCCATCACCTCCACTAGCTTTGTTCGTAGTGGTGCTTCCTAAGGCCCACTTGACTTCACATTCCAGGATGTCTGGCTCGAGGTTAGTGATCATACCATCGTGGTTGTCTGGGTCATAAAGATCTTTTTTGTATAGATTTCTTCTGTGTATTCTTGCCACCTCTTCTTAATATCTTTTGCTTCTGTTAGATCCATGCCATTTCTGTCCTTTATTGTGCTCATCTTTGCATGAAATGTTCCTTTGGTGTCTCTGATTTTCCTGAACAAATCTTTAGTCCTTCTCATTTTATTGTTTTCCTCTATTTCTTTGCATTGATCACTGAGGAAGGCTTTCTTATTTCTCTTTGCTATTCTTTGGAACTCTGCATTCAGATGGGTAGATCTTTCCTTTTCTCCTTTGCCTTTAGCTTCTCTTCTTTTCTTAGCTATTTGCAATGCCTCCTCAGACAACATTTTGCCTTTTTGCATTTATTCTTGGGGATGGGTCTTGCTCACTGCTTCCCATACAGTGTTATGAACCTCCATCCATAGTTCTTCAGTCACTCTTTAACAGATCTAATCCCTTGAATCTATTTGTCACTTCCACTGTGTAATCGTAAGGGATTTGATTTAGGTCATAGCTAAATGGTCTAGTGGTTTTCCCTACTCTCTTCACTTTAAGTCTGAATTTGGCAATAAGAAATTCATGATCTGAGCCACAGTCAGCTCCTGGTCTTGTTTTTGCTGACTGTGTAAGAGCTTCTCCATCTTCAGCTGCAAAGAACGTGATCAATATGATTTCAGTATTGACCATCTGTCGATGTCCATGTGTAGAGTTGTGTTTTGTGTTGTTGGAAGAGGGTGTTTGCTGACTAGTGCGTTCTCTTGGCAGAATTCTGTTAGCCTTTGCCCTGCTTCATTCACTTTGTACTCCCAACTGCCTGTTACTCCAGGTATCTCTCGACTTCCTAGTTTTGCATTCCAGTCCCCTATGATAAAAAAGAAATCTTTTTTGGGTGTTAGTTCTAGAAGGTCTTGTAGGTCTTCATAGAACTGTTCAACTTCAGCTTCTTTAGCGTTAGGGTTGGGGCATAGACTTGGATTACCGTGATACTGAATGGTTTGCCTTGGAAAGACAGATCATTCTGTCATATTTGAGAAGGCACAGAAGTACTATATTTTGGACTTTTTTGTTGATTATGAGGGCTACTCCATTTCTTCTAAGGGATTCTTGGCCACAGTAGTAGATATAATTGTCATCTGAGTTAAATTTGCCCATTCCAGTCCATTTTAGTTCACTGCTTTCTAAAGTGTCGATTCACTCTTGCCATCTCCTATTTGACCACTTCTAATTTGCCTTGATTCATGGACCTAATATCCCAGATTCCTATGCAATATTGTTCTTTACAACATTGGATTTGACTTCCATCACCAGTCACATCCACAACTGGGCATTGCTTTTGCTTTGGCTCCATCTCTTCATTCTTTCTGGAGTTATTTCTCCACTCTCCTCCAGTAGTAGCACATTGGTCACCTACCAACCTGAGGAATTCATCTTTCAGTGTCCCATCTTTTTGCCTTTTCATACTGTTCATGGGGTTCTTAAGGCAAGAATGCTGAAGTGCTTTGCCATTCCCTTCTCCAGTGGACCACGTTTTGTCAGAAGTCTCCACTATGACCTGTCTGTTTTGGGTGGCCCTACGTGGCATGGCTCATAGTTTCATTGAGTTAGACAAGGTTGTGGTCCATGTGATCAGTTTGGTTAGTTTTCTGTGATTGTGGTTTCGTTTTGTCTGCCCTCTGATGGGTAAGGATAAGAGGCTTAAGGACTTACAAAGTAGGAATCAATTTTGGACTTAGGTGGTTTAAAAAATTCCTTTTATAATTTTAAAATCACAGAAGTAATATATGAATATCTACGGTCCAATTTTTTTTAAAAAACAGTACAGAAAAATAAAGGATTGAGAATGAATGATTCCTTTAAGTCCTTTATACTTATATGGTTTCTTCCTAGTAGATAAGAAGGAATATTTATAAAATTGTAAGTGGTGGTGACTGTGTTGGTCATTTTGCTTCTGTTTAATCTTTTTCTTCATTTTATATCTAGAGCTTATAGGTGCCCTAGGAATGCTCTAAGACCTAGAGTCAAAAGCAGAGAAATCACAGTCTTGAATTATATATATAGGACAGTAAATGGGCAAAGTTTCTCATGGGTGTATGTATGCACATGTGTGCGCACACACGCGCACACACACGCGCACACACACACACACTTCACCCCTCACACACACACAGAGTCCACCCCTCATTCCCCATCCTCAACCCTCAGATTTCTTCAAAGGTGATAATTTAAAATTCCTATTTGTTTTATTTATAGACTTTCTCTTATAGTTTTATTATTTTCACTTTACCCAAAGCCTCTAATAGTCTTAATGTTTTGAGAAAATTCTAACAAAGACAAATGTCTAATCATAAGCAACTAGTTAAGTAGTTGTTTGTAAGTTGCTGTAAATTCATGCTTTATGTATGTGTGCATAATTTATAATATTGTATGAGCCTTTAGAGTATAGTATACCTATGCTTTTCCAGCATATTCTGTAATCTGTTCATCAAAGCATAGCATTGTTATCTTTAAAGTATGTAATGGTGAAGTGCAGAGTCACCATTTTAATTAGGTCAAGAATTGGAATAAACAATAGTTTAGCACAGAAAAACAATGGCACGACTAGTGGTATTGTCTTTGACAATTTGGTGAACTCAACCTGAGCAAGGGGGTTTGACTAGTTCAGGAGAACTTTTCTCTAGCTCATTTTACTAGCCTTGGTGAGGTAGGCATAATCACAGGGGTTTGGGGTTAGAGAGGGTGAAAGGATAAATGAGAGAATGGCTCTTATAAATAGTTTTATTTCTTTTAATTAAGTGTAACCATATGCTGTTGATAGCTTTATATCCTTGGAAAGAGTCTCACATGAACATTTTCAATGTGCATTTTTCTTTCCTTTCTTTATAAAAGTCTGTTTTAATTACTCTCTGGTTAATTCCAGGCTGAATTAAGCAAAAATCTCATTTCTTCCCATTCATTATGTTTGTGGTTTTGAGGGTTGGCATTAGGGAGATGGGTGGGGGAAGTGGTAGTGAAGAGAAATTTATAGCTAGAGGGAAAATTCCACTTAACATATGACTCAACTGAAGAACAAAGAAATCATAGTTGCAAGTAATCCAGGATTCAGTCCAATTAAAATCTTCACTGTTTATCCTCTTTCCCTGTTGCAGTAAGA